ATGTGTAAAATAACTGCATGTATTTTACTCGATATTTACCTGTAAACAATATTGAGACGCATTAACTATCTGTACAGATGTGCTGTTCATTATTTCCAGACACCAAGGCAAGCCGACGAATTTCGCAACGGACTCGGTTCGATTAATATTGTTTTTGCATAATTCGCCTATAATGCGAATCGCAGTACAGATCACTTTTTCGTTCTTTTCCACTTTCACAAGTTGAATGATTTTAGATACGCCTTCCTTTTTGAAGATCTCTTCAGCACCAGCTCTCTCACGTGCGAGCACAAGCAGATTGTTCATAGCGGTTTCACGTTTGTCGTTATCTGCACTCACGTTAAATGCTAAATCCAGAATTTGTGATACCTAATACAAAGTAAAATTATATTTAAATATATAATGATCTGTAATAAAAAAAATATAAATAACTAAGATTATATTTGTATGACTTAATTTTTATTCATACAGGATGTGTAAACTATTGAACAATAATAATTATATAATAAAAGAAAGTAAAATTAAAAACCATTTATCAAATTATATATGACATTAAACAGAAACTCTTACTGAAGTATCCGGTATGAAAAGTACGTTACAATTTCTACATTATCTACATATAGACCTATTTATCATCTCTTGCAAGTTAATGTATTTCTATAGAAAATATATATATTTATCTTGGCACTAATACTTGCATTTTCCTTACTACGTTCTTGTACAATTTCAAGTAAGCGCGTCGCTACGGGCTGAACAACTTTGTTATTGGGGTCAGATGAAATAATGACCTCCGCGTCCCGATGCGCCTCCTCGAATCTCTCTAACGCTTCTAATGCTTGACATCTGCGATACAGTGCTTTGTTACAACATATCTTTAACGCACTGTCACAGTCTTCAACCACTTTCTTGTAATCGTGTAGCTTTAAATATACTGCAGCCCGATTTTTGTAGTAAACTCCTTTCTCAGCGTTGTCCTCTTTCGTTAGTCTTAGTCCGTTTGTGTAGTGACTTATGGCATTTGACCAATTGCCTTTGCTAAATTCTTCATTACCCTTCTCTTTCCATTCCTGTGCAGTCATAACTGACTTTGCCATGGTGGAATAACTCTACAACACAAAATATATGACGCTGCATTATATATTAATACGAAATAACTCTCTGATACCTTATATGTATTATCTTAAATGCGAAAAGTATAGAAGATGCAATTATTAGACACTAAATAATTATATGCAAATATGAGACAATAGGTCTGTTTTCTGTTGCTGAACTGGCTGCACTGGTTCAGCAACAG